GGGGGGGGGAGCTGTTGCTCAGTGATCCTGGGGCTCCTGCAGCAGCTCTTCTCCCCCCCCCGATTCAACAGGAAGCTGTCCACCCTGAACGCCTGGATGCGGGAGCACAGCTACGACACCGCGGAACTGTGGCGGGACATTGAGGACATCATAATCAAGACGCTCATTGCTGCTCACCCAGTTCTGAAGCACAACTATCGCACCTGCTTCCCCCACCACATCTCTGGTTGTGCCTGCTTTGAGATCCTGGGCTTTGACATCCTCCTTGACCGGAAACTCAAACCGTGGCTTCTGGAGGTAGGTACCTTTCCCAAAGCTCTTTGGCCGTGGGACGAGTGAGATATAAATGAAATGAAGAAATAAAGGGCCCACCTGAAGCAGGAGAGGTTGCCCTTTGGTTTACCTGCTCTAGCACCTGTTGCAATTTTGGCAAAAATAGGAATGAGGTTCTCCTGGGAGATTTTGAAAGGGGGGGATGAAGTGGGGCAATCTTCTTAAGCCTCCACCCATCAGTCGAAACAGAGATTTCACATTAAGAACCGTCCCCTCGGTTCCTGTTCCCAGCCCTTCCCATCCTCCCCTTCAGCAGAGAATTTTCTGAGACCCAAAGGAAGAGTTTCCTCTCCGTCATCCAGGTCCTGGTTGTCCAAAGGTGCTTTTCCAAGAGGCAACTGGACTTTCTGGTTTTTCATTGAAGACATTTCACTTCTCATCCAAGAAGCTTCTTCAGTTCTTGGATGAGAAGCTAAACGTCTTCAAAGAAAAACCGGAAAGTCCAGTTGCCTCTTGAATGGATATTCTTTTGTCATATTCTCTCCTAAGCGGGGCCCAGCCTTACAAGCTGTTTTATTTAGGAAATAAAAAAAATACCAGGAAGGTATATCAAAGAGCTGCTGGGACTCCCCCGGTTCCTCAGAGCAGAAGGAATGCAACAGCGGCCTTGGGGTGTGTGTGTCTCTCCCATCACTCTTTCAGGTCAACCATTCCCCCAGCTTTACCACGGACTCCCGCCTGGACCGGGAAGTGAAGGATGCCTTACTCTGCGATGCAATCAATCTCATCAACCTGCGGGCCTGTGACAAGAAGAAGGTGCTAGAAGAAGACAAGAGGCGGGTGAAGGAGCGCCTGCTGCAGCCCCACCAGCAGCCCCGAGAGGCCAGGTAGCTCTGTGAGCCCCTGCCAGGCCTGTGGTGGCCTTTCCCAGGGGCCCCTTGGCATCCTCTGCCCATCCACCACAGGGGAGGCAGTCGTGGAGCAAGCGGAGAATCTCAAGTGTGTGCACTATTTCAGGGAGTCTTTGACTTAGTGACCGCTGGAAGTTACAACGGCACTAAAAAAAAGGGGCTTATGACCATTTTTCACACCAATGATCAGTGCGGCATTCCCGTTTGTCCTGTGATTTATATTTGGATGCTTGGCAACTGACTCGCAGTTATGATGGTTGCCATGTCCCACGGTCACGGGAACTCCTTTTGTGACCTTCTGACAAGCAGAGCCAATGGGGAAGCCAGATTCACTTAACAACCAT